GAGGAGAAATCCAAATAAGAAGTTTTCTACACCGTGGCAGAACAGTTTGCTGAATTATTGGAGTTGTTAAATATTATCATTTGAACACGTGATAATCAGAAGGTGTTAAATCCTGACAGTGGGGGGTGGGAGCGGGTTATTCGGGATTTCCCAACACAAGTTTTCCAACCTCATCGTCGTTAAATTCGCCGTATTTGGACGTGCGTTGTCCCCCCCCCCCTGACAATTTCCGGGGGGTTTTTCCCCTCTAATTCCGTGCACTTCATTGACAAGCAAGTTACTGTAATACGAGACGAGGTGATAGAAAACAGGCGTGAATTGCCTCTTCTGAATAGCAAGAGACACTTGCCATGATCATACTGTGTTTTGAACATTTTTGAGTGGTAGATATCCTTTTTGGTGCCTTTCTAAACTGTACCGCTTTGATTCTGGAGTAAATTAGTGTATACATTTATAGTTTTTGATGCGTCATGTTTGTGTTTAAAATTCACATATATATTTATTATTCAAGTCATATACACAAACTTTTAAATTTTGATGTTAAAATTTAAAATTTAAAATTGATATTCTGCGCCATTCATCGTTATCTCGATGTTACAATGTTGCGCTTTAATACTTCTACATGTTTCGATGTCATAGCATCATCTTCAGGTTTTTATTTGCTTGCATTAATACATATAGAATAGTTTTAAATATAAAAACCTGAAGATGATGCTATGACAGCGAAACATGTAGAAGTATTAAAGCGCAACATTGTAACATCGAGATAACGATGAATGGCGCAGAATATCAATTTTAAATTTTAAATTTTAACATCAAAATTTAAAAGTTTGTGTATATGACTTGAATAATAAATATATATGTATAGTGTATACATGTCTCATCATATGTCACTATTCGCTTCAGAAATGCGTTTCCTTCCAGATAAATAAGGTTCAAATTGTCGACAGACACAGAAACACGTTGTGCTTTCATCTGCGGGACTCACCGTGCGCGAACTTTCTCGAAAAATAAGTGTTCGCGAATAATTGTGTGTGCCCTCCCAACACTTACGCACACTGTGGATGGTGTATCAATCACTTCAATTCGCCTTTCTCCCAAAATCACTTCATAAACTCGACTAATGTTCGCAACTGTTAAAGTTTGTCGGCTGCACGTGACCATGTGGTCGTTTAGCGACATGTTAGCAAATTTGTACATTGTTTGTCGTTGATAAAACGTCCTTAAACGTTTAAATATGTCCCCATCTGCTTCAACAACCGATAACTCCTCATTTTTTTTGTACGATTCTCAAAGTAAACAGTAATTATTTCCTTAAACAGCGATTACTAGTTGATCCTTGCAGTGGTGAAGAGTTGTGTTTTCTTTGAGGTACGGACTGATTTCTTAAATATTATTTGAATGTGCTTCGTGTGCGTTGTGTGTGCAGACATCAGCCGCTCGTAAGGTTTTAGTAAATTTGGAATCGTGACGTAATTTACGTCGTTGCGATGGATCAAGAACGTAAATACGAAGTTTGGTTGGAAACTGTTTGTGTACAGTTCCTAGTCCTTATAAATGATGTTAACTGATGGACTGATCAGGACCTCCCGATTTTTGCCTCAGTTTACGAACTTCGTGAATCATTGCATCCAAAAACAAGGTACATTACAGAACTGTCAAGAAGTAGATTTGAAGGAAAGAAAACTCGGATTTGCAAGGAAGAATATACAGGATGATCAAGGAAGAAATTACGGAAGCTTTGAATGCCTCGTTGCCGTCTCTCATGCATCAGCTACAACAAAGAGTTTAAGCTGGCATCCAACCGGGACAGATAGCGTAAAACAACAGAGCGAGGGATAAATGCAGCGAAAGTGGACGAGGTTCAGTATATAACAGACGTGAGCAGCTACAGAGAGTCATAGCAGCTGTTGGTTACCCAAGCAACATGAAGCTTCTGGTAAGTTGAACATCGCTTACGCTGCACACAAATTTATTCAGCAAAGTGTACAGTCTTAAGGCGATTGGTCGCTGGATTCGAACCACGGGGGATTGAGTTTGCTCCCAGCGGGATTTCAGGTGGACGAAGTGGCCCTGGGACAGATTTTGTGTCGGAATAGACCAAAGGTTCTAATCCCTGAAACCATTAGCATTTCAAATACCCTGGGCACATTTTTTGATATTCTGGCCATATCATGGTCCTTATGTGGGTTTATACACACCCTACGCATCGTTGTAATATTTTTTATATCCAGTGATTACCAGGGGATTTTCTCCAGTTTTAATTATCCGCAGTCCGAATGAAGTTAATCCCTATCTGCATATAGTATCGATTTTGCATATTAGTTTTTCCTGAAAATTCAAGTAATTGAAATTAAACATTTAATGAAATGGTGATTAGAATTTAACGAAAAACCAAAGCCGGTTTCCAAAACATTTTCGAACATTAAGTTTGAATCCAGTTCTCCGCATGTTGCTAGCTCGAGTGTCTAGAATTCAGCTTCTCAGGCCGATTAGTGAGAACGTCCTGCCTACACTAGGAGTGCCTCATGAAAGTTAAGTCAACTGGAATCAAAGCAAGGTTGGCAACCACAGGAAACGGAGGAAAGACTAAGGCAGTCTGCGATTTTTCAGGTCTGCACGTTATTCCTAGCCGCCTTAGTTCTGGCTGAAGAGGACAAGAAGGACGACAGCAAGACAGTGAAGAGAGGATTGCACGACCTGGGCTTCGGAGGAGGGAGTTTCGGACACGGAGGAGGAAGTTTCGGACACGGAGGAGAGAGTTTCGGACACGGAGGAGGGAGTTTCGGACACGGTGGAGGTGCCTCTTTCGGAGGACACGACGGCTTCAGTCTAGGAGGTCACTCCTTCGGCGGCGGAAGTTTCGGAGGAGGGGAATCCCACCACGAGAGTCACGTGAAAGCCATCACCATCAACGGAAGCTTTGAATGCCTCGTTGCCGTCTCTCATGCATCAGCTACAACAAAGAGTTTAAGCTGGCATCCAACCGGGACAGATAGCGTAAAACAACAGAGCGAGGGATAAATGCAGCGAAAGTGGACGAGGTTCAGTATATAACAGACGTGAGCAGCTACAGAGAGTCATAGCAGCTGTTGGTTACCCAAGCAACATGAAGCTTCTGGTAAGTTGAACATCGCTTACGCTGCACACAAATTTATTCAGCAAAGTGTACAGTCTTAAGGCGATTGGTCGCTGGATTCGAACCACGGGGGATTGAGTTTGCTCCCAGCGGGATTTCAGGTGGACGAAGTGGCCCTGGGACAGATTTTGTGTCGGAATAGACCAAAGGTTCTAATCCCTGAAACCATTAGCATTTCAAATACCCTGGGCACATTTTTTGATATTCTGGCCATATCATGGTCCTTATGTGGGTTTATACACACCCTACGCATCGTTGTAATATTTTTTATATCCAGTGATTACCAGGGGATTTTCTCCAGTTTTAATTATCCGCAGTCCGAATGAAGTTAATCCCTATCTGCATATAGTATCGATTTTGCATATTAGTTTTTCCTGAAAATTCAAGTAATTGAAATTAAACATTTAATGAAATGGTGATTAGAATTTAACGAAAAACCAAAGCCGGTTTCCAAAACATTTTCGAACATTAAGTTTGAATCCAGTTCTCCGCATGTTGCTAGCTCGAGTGTCTAGAATTCAGCTTCTCAGGCCGATTAGTGAGAACGTCCTGCCTACACTAGGAGTGCCTCATGATATTTAAGTCAACTGGAGTCAAAGCAAGGTTGGCAACCACAGGAAACGGAGGAAAGACTAAGGCAGTCTGCGATTTTTCAGGTCTGCACGTTATTCCTAGCCGCCTTAGTTCTGGCTGAAGAGGACAAGAAGGACGACAGCAAGACAGTGAAGAGAGGATTGCACGACCTGGGCTTCGGAGGAGGGAGTTTCGGACACGGAGGAGGGAGTTTCGGACACGGTGGAGGTGCCTCTTTCGGAGGACACGACGGCTTCAGTCTAGGAGGTCACTCCTTCGGCGGCGGAAGTTTCGGAGGAGGGGAATCCCACCACGAGAGTCACGTGAAAGCCATCACCATCACCAAGGAAGTTAAAGTGCCCGTCCCTCAACCATACCCAGTGCATGTGGAGAAGAAGGTCCCGTACCCCGTGAAGGTCCCTGTAGCCGTCCATGTTGACAAACCCTACCCAGTTCACGTCCCCAAACCATACCCTGTCTACGTCGAGAAGAAGGTCCCTTACCCTGTGGAGAAGAAGGTCCCTTACCCTGTGAAGGTCCCTGTGAAGGTGCCGTACCCAGTCCCTCACCCTGTCCATGTCCCTAAGCCGTACCCCGTGAAGGTCGCTGTGCCTCATCCCTACCCCGTGAAGGTGCCAGTCGTGGTGGAGAAGAAGGTCCCTGTCTACGTGAAGGAACATCACCACGAGGGAGGTTTCGGAGGAGGTCTGGAGGGACACAGCTTTGGAGGTCAAGATTTTGGAGGTCATGACTTTGGAGGTCACAGTCATGGATATTAGATGTTACCAGTTTGATATGAATTATGTAGGGTCTGTCGCGTGTCATTGGTCTTGATGTAAAGGAGCCAGAACCTGATATTGCTGACCTCAATTAATGCATTCCCGCTGAGACTTCGTAGGTTCGTAGAACATTTCGTATCGACATAGCAGAGGAACGTCTGCATATTGAGGTCATTCGGGTTCGTTGCCTCTGTGCCAGAGCGCATTTAACTTCGCATTATAGAGAAGTGAGCACATGTTGGCCAACATTCATCCCCCTTTGTTTTTACTTGTTACCCCCCTCGAGCCCTTTCACTTTTACACAAACTTATCCAGACTGAAGCTGGTCTTACCTCACTTACATATGTTTTAACTTATTGTGTGTGTCTTCTGTGATATATTTTTGAGCAATATTATGCCAATAAATCTTACGTATGTCATACAGAGCTTTTGTGTTACTTTCTACTTCAACCGTATGCTTACCAGCCTATGCAGATGACAAAGAGACGCCATCTGCCTTCCTGTGCTGTGTCACACTACAAACCCTCTCAATTTCTCCCTATTACAAACCACGCTAATGTAACGGTGATATTTTATTTAAATACGGACGTTATGCCATGTTTTGTATTCTGATCAGTAACGGTGATATTTTATTTAAATACGGGCGTTATGCCATATTTTGTATTCTGATCGTTTTCTCGTGGTTTCACCGCCTCCTACAAACTCCACCCTTCATGGTCATGAATTCCACGTGGTTCCCACTACTGTCTGTTACGCAGAAGATAAAAGGTTGATCTCTCACCTCGACGTAAGAACATAACCTAGATGGAGGATGTTTGAGAAAATGTTGTTGGATAAGTTAAATGAACGAAAGAGGGAATTAGTAAAAGGAATTTGGAGACAAGAGGACGGTAAGGAGGTTCATAAGTTATAACACCGACGGGACAAAATGAAGGAATGCTGGGCGGGGAATATAGATGGGATGGTAGAAGTGACGAGTCCTTGCAAGGTTTTATAGTCGGAAAACATCGAAAAGAAGGGACGGCTTGGAAGACCTACACATCTACCCACAGATCAGAGGTTATTGAAATTCTTCTCTGAATGAGGGCCACCGACTGATTCTCGTGAATACGCGAAGGAGAGTTCAGATTCCGTGAATTATTATTATTAAGTGTTCTGTCTTACGACAGGTCCATTGCTCTGCCCAAAAAGAGCTCTCCAGTTGTCCCTATT